TTCCCACAAACGCTTTCCCTCTCTGGTCAAATAAAAATAAAAATAAATAATTCTTTTTAAAAAATGCATTTATTTTTATCGGTGGTTCTCAAAAGTGTAGATAAGCAACTTGGGGGGGTATGCTTCATGAGACCCTTTTAGAAGGTCTTCAAGGTCAAAAATTTTTGGCATACCAAGATGTTATAAGCATTTTGACTCTCAGTATCTTGTGAGTACACTAGAAATGTTTTCTAGAGACTACACAAATAGAACAAATTAAATGCAAAAGCAGATATTGGAATTTGTCCTTCGTTAAGCTGGACATTAAAAAGAGGTAAAAATGTAAAACGATGCATTTTTCACATCAAATTAGAATAATTTTTATTATAATTTCTGATTTTTCTGTAGCAGTTGTACAAATTTGTGGGGATTCAGTGTGGTTTATCCATATATGTATATACTGTGTAATGATCAAATCAGGGCAATAAACACATTCACCGCATACATTTATGATGACTTTGTGTTATGCACTTTCAAGTTCCACCCTTCTATTGTGAAGTACACATTGGATTGTCTATTTTTGCTCTACTGTGCTACAATTTTCTAGAACTCATTCCACTTATCTACCTGTAGTCTTATATGTGTTACCCATCTGTTACCCATTGTTGGACTCATCACAGTTGAATCTTCTTAGCTTCTACTAATGAGTGAGAACATACATTATTGTCTTTTAGTGCTTTATTTCACTTGGCATTATTTCCTCCAGGTCATCCATGTTGCCTCAAATGACTTGATTATAACCATTGTGGGAAATAGTACAGAATTTCTTCACCAAACCGAAAATAGAACTACATTATGATCCAGTAGTTGAATAACTAGGTGTATACCGAAAGGAAAGGATATTAGCATGGCAAAGAGATATCTCTTTGAGATATAAATGCATTCATATGTTTATTGCAGCACTATTCACAATAGCTAGGAAAGATACAAAATTAAGTAAAATATCCTCAACAGATGAATGGATAAAGAAAAGTGATATATTTACACAGTGAAATATTGTTCAGCTATAAACAAAAGATCAGCTTTTTCCCCTTTGGGTTTTAGAAAATAGTTTTTTCTCTTATACGTGAAAGGTATTTATTATTTTCACGTGGATTAATAAATACATATTTTTTAAAATCTCAGGTTTAATGCCTAGTACAGTAAGTATCTAGAGATACGGTCCCCCCAAAAAAGCTCTTTAGAGTCCTCAGTAATTTTCTAAGTCTAAAGGAGTTTTGAGACCAAGAAGTCTGAGACCTGTTGATTTATATCATTCTTGTGTTAAGACAGTCTTCCACCCTTGTTTCTCAGTATTGGGTTGACTGTTCAATCTGTAGGTCAACTTGGGAAGAATCTTAGCTTCTACTAATGAGTGAGAACATACATTATTGTCTTTTAGTGCTTTATTTCACTTGGCATTATTTCCTCCAGGTCATCCATGTTGCCTCAAATGACTTGATTATAACCATTGTGGGAAATAGTACAGAATTTCTTCACCAAACCGAAAATAGAACTACATTATGATCCAGTAGTTGAATAACTAGGTGTATACCGAAAGGAAAGGATATTAGCATGGCAAAGAGATATCTCTTTGAGATATAAATGCATTCATATGTTTATTGCAGCACTATTCACAATAGCTAGGAAAGATACAAAATTAAGTAAAATATCCTCAACAGATGAATGGATAAAGAAAAGTGATATATTTACACAGTGAAATATTGTTCAGCTATAAACAAAAGATCAGCTTTTTCCCCTTTGGGTTTTAGAAAATAGTTTTTTCTCTTATACGTGAAAGGTATTTATTATTTTCACGTGGATTAATAAATACATATTTTTTAAAATCTCAGGTTTAATGCCTAGTACAGTAAGTATCTAGAGATACGGTCCCCCCAAAAAAGCTCTTTAGAGTCCTCAGTAATTTTCTAAGTCTAAAGGAGTTTTGAGACCAAGAAGTCTGAGACCTGTTGATTTATATCATTCTTGTGTTAAGACAGTCTTCCACCCTTGTTTCTCAGTATTGGGTTGACTGTTCAATCTGTAGGTCAACTTGGGAAGAACTGCTATCTTAACAATACCAAGTCTTTCCATTTGGGAACACACAATAATTTTTTATTTATTTAGATCTTTGATTCCTTTTCGTCAGAGTTTTATAGTTTTCTCCATATATGATCTGTATATCTTTTGTTGGAGTTCTACCTACCAAAGTATTTAATTTTCTTTTCCTAGCATTATGAATAGTATTGGGTTTTTCATTTCTAACTCCAGTCATTGCTATTACATAAGTAAGCAGTTGACTTTTGTTTTTTAACCTTAAATTCTGAAACCTTGCTATAATTGCTTGTTCTAGTTTTGTTTTTTTTTTTTTTAATTTGCTTTAGGGCATGTGTGCTGACTGGGGAGAGAAAGGGAGAGGGAGGGAAGGAAGGAGAGAAAGCACACTGCGGGGAAATGGCCCTGTTGTAATCCCTTCTCCATTCTCTTCATGTCATTTTAGGAGCATGTGCACGTGCACCTGGCTTGTTTTTCAAGCTGCTGGGTCTAGAACTCAAACTACACTATTGACCATGTAGAATCCAACCACCTTAACCTCCATGCCACCGGCTGGCTCTCTTTGGGATTTTCGACATAGTCCTGTCATCTGTGAACAAAGATACAAAGAGCAGGGAACCAGCAGTTAGCTTAATGGCTATGTCGCTGGACTCCCATGTAGTTGACGGCGGTTCATATCCTGGAAGTTGAGAAAGTTCTTTTCAGTTCCTAGTTTATTACAAGTTTATTTTATTTTGCATGCACATTTGCCAGAGAGAGACGGAGAGAAAGGGAAAGCAGGAAAGCACCCCTCCTCCTCAATGAGGCATGGTCATGCTGTATCACTTTTTTCCATTCTTTGGGGATTTGGGCCATGCACACACATGTGCCTAGTGTCTTTCTCAAACTGCCAGGTCTAGGACTTGAATAGCACATTTGGCCTTCTGGGATTCAGCAGCCTTAAACACCAGACCATAAACTGGTCCCTGTTACTGGTTTTTAGTTATCAGTATGTATTGGATCTGGCCAAATATGTTTCTTCCATCAATTTATAGGGTCATTGTTTTTCTTCTTCTACACTGTTGATCTGGTGAATTAGATTAATTTCTTTCTCTTTTTTTTCTTTGCTTTTTCTAATCACTTTTCTAATGTTAAATCAGCCTTGCATACCTAGAATAAATGTCTCTTAGTTATGGTACATAATTTACTCATTCTTGGGTTTGACTACTAATATTTTGTTAAGGATTTTTGCATCTATGTTTAGGAAAAATAATGGTTTATAGAATTCCTTTCTTTAATTTGTGTGTGTGTGTGTGTGTGTGTGTGTGTGTTCGTTCGTGTGATTTTGGCATTAGCAAATTTCTTTTAATTTTTCTTCATTCCCTTCTGGCGTTTGTCCATGTACCTTCTCTGTGATTTTAACTGTGAGAAAATGATGTACATGTTGTATAGGTTGTCAGGAAAGTCATGACACATTTTTGCATAGACAAATATAGGAATATATGTTATGATTTTCCGGACAACCTAATATTTATTCATTTAAGCTGTTAATTTCTAACATCCATTTAGTTTCTAGTAAAAAGGCTTTTTTGAATGCTGCCTCATAATGTTCATTGGTATAGTGTTTACTTAAGAGCAGTTATATTTAAAGTTATGTTGACTTTAAAAATGAGAAATGTCATTTAAGATATTTATATTTTGAAATCTCTAGATTTCTTCTTTGGATTATAGTAACATTAAAATAATGATGAAGAGATAACTTTATTTTTCTTTGAGTAATAAGAAGTGTCATTTCCCTTTGTACTTACACAGGAACTCTAGCGAAAATAATGGAATTATATGACTTAACAGTGCTGGGATACACAAGCCTGGCTAGGGAGGCTTCTCTTCTCACCTGGCACTCTTAGTTTTTGTTCTCCAACTTTTACTCACACATCATTTCTTTCCCAACTTATATATGAAACAGAAGAATGTAGTTTAATAGTGACTTACACTGTAAAATGTTTTTTTTCTACCATCAAATATTAAAACATTGTTAATATTAAGTTGAAGAAAAGTTAATTTCTCTTTCTTGTTCTTTTGTTTGGTCAGTGTTTCTGTAAGTAAAAAAAGTTTTCCAACTTAACATAGAGTGTGACTAGGGAAGAGATGGTAACGAGGAAATTTTAGGACTTACCAATCTGAGTAAAAAAGATAAATGATAAGATCTTTTAATATAAAGAAAAAAATGTCAAACTGTTTATGTTTATCTGTCTACTTTTCCATAGGCAGAGAAGCCCCCAAATGGGCCAGATTGTGGTTATGGCTCCTTTCACCAGCAGTACTGGCTTGATGGAAAGATCATTGCTGTAGGGGTGATTGACATCCTTCCGTACTGTGTTTCGTCTGTGTATTTGTACTACGATCCTGATTATTCATTTCTGTCTTTGGGTGTCTACTCTGCACTACGGTGAGACTGCTTTTTGTAGTGGTTGGAATGGGTTATAACAACATTTAATAACTCCTTTGATTTTATTTTATTGTATAATAGTATAAATCCTCCTTGATAGTATTTATAATGATTTATTGCTGCAGTAGTCCCTTAGTCTTATATTGAAATTTAGGTGTACCAGCTTTAGAACTGATGTCAGTGTTTGATGGTAATTCTCAAGGGTTTTTTTTTTGTTTGTTTTTTTTTTTTAAGAGAGATTTTTACTCTAAGGTATGTGCACTCACCAGAGAGACAGAGAGAGACATAAAGAGATAAATCACCCCCTGGGGGGGATGGCCACGCTGAAATCTCTTCTCCACTTTCCTCTTGGGATTTTGGACACACACACACACACACACACACACACACACACACACATGTGCCCAGCATGAGATTTAAGCCACTGGGTCCAGGATGACTACATGGGAGTCCAGCGACGCAACCGTTACACCATCTGCTGGTCCCAGTTCTCAAGCTTTTTCTTTTATAAAACTTTATTTATGTAATTTATTATTTTTTTATTTGACCAGAGAGGGACTGAGCGAGTGAGAGAGAGGGAGGAAGAGAGAGAGAGAAAGTGAGAAAGCAAGCTACCAGGTCCAGGACTTGAACCGTGGTTGGCCATGTGGGAGTCCAGTGCCCCTCACCACCACACCACCTGCCAGCCCCAGTTCTCAAGCTTTTTAAGGTATCCATCTATGTATGTGAGAAATCATTGCATTTGTGGGATACTTTTGTTGTTTATACATCTATTAAATCTCCCTTGTCAGAACCACTAATGTTACTTAAATATTATACTATTGTATTCTTATTGTTACTATCATATGTATTTTTCGCTATTAATTAAAAAGTTAAATGAATATGGTATAAATGAATTAAACTAACATGGATCTGCTAGAAAAAAAATATGTAAGTATATGGAAGAGGTCTAGGAAAATCTCTGGTTTTCTTAATCTATGGGCTTCATCAATAGATAATTTTTGTTTTATGTCTGTGGCTACAAAAATTGATAGATATAATACAGTACAATATTTTTCAAGGCAAGAAAGTGATAGTCTTAGTCCATGAAAATATTTGTTTCTGTTTTTATTCCTCTTGTGTGGTAGAATAGGATAGGAGGGGGTGGGAATTTCTTTTATTTGTGAGCTTGAGTCTTTTTCTCCTGCTTTATCATTGTGTCATATTTTTCTCTTTTAGTTTCCCAGCCTTTATGTTTGATGGTTACATTTTCACACCATGGTACAGCATACTGCTAGATTATTTTATTTTGTGTGTGTGTGTGTTTTTTTCTGAATTATAAAAGTAGGAGAGTAAATGTTCTTTATTTTTTTATTTATTTAATTTTATTTATTCATTCATTTTTTTTAAAAAAATTTTTTTGGAGAGGTTTTTTTGCTATAGGGAATATACGCTCTCCAGAAAGAGACAGAGAGACAGAAAGCAAGAAATCACCCCCTGGGGAGGATGGCCACACCACAGTTCCTTCTCCTTTCTCCTTTCGGGATCTTGGGCATGCACGCACACATGCCCGGCGTGAGTTGAAGCCACTGGGTTCGGGACTCGAATTGTGGTCAGCTACATGGGAGACCAGTGACATAGCTATTACACTAACTGCTGGTCCCATCATTCATTTATTTTAATTTGACCAGAGAGAGATATACAGGGGGTGGGGGGAGTGAGAAAGCAGGCCACCAGGGTTGGTATTTGAACCGTGGTCAGCCATGTGGAAGTGTCCAGTGCCTTAACCGCCATGCCACCTGCTGGTCCTAAGTAAATGTTCTTTATATTAAAAAAATTTGTAAAGAATTATTTTATTTTAACATTTATTTATTTTAATTTGACTAGAGAGGAACAGAGAGAGAGAGAGAAAGAAAGTGAGAAAGCAAGCCACCAGGTTCGGAATTGGAACCGTGGTCAGCCATGTGGAAGTCCAGTGCCCTTAACTACTACGCTACCTGCAGGCCCCCTATATTAAAAATTTTTAAAAATATGGTTTATAATTGATGTTTTTGTGTGTGTTTTAGTGACTTACAAATATAAAAAAGTTCTCCGTTTTCATATTTTCAGCCTGACTTTTTTCTTCTGCCAGTATGTAGTAAATTCATGATTTTGTAATATTTTAACTGATCTCTGTAACTGTCTTTTACTTTATTATGTTTAGTTGTATTTGTATTTAATGTAATCAAATAATATTCATAGTTCTTGGTGATTTCACCAAAATTATAACTGGTAATCTATAAGCATTCACATTTTATGACTTAAGAAGTTTACATTAATTAATATTATATAACTTAAAAGTTTTTATTTATTTCATGGAGCCAGCAGGTTGTGTGGTGGTTAACCTACTGGACTCGCACATGGCCGACTATGGTTTAAGTTTTGGACCTAGCAGTTTGAAAATCATACTGGGTGTAAGTGCATGCATACCCAAAATCCTGAGAAGAGAATGAAGGAAAAGGGATTGCAGCATGGCCATTCCCCCTGGGAGATAATTTCTCATTTTCTGTTTCTTTCTGTATCTCTCCAGCAAGTGCATGCACACTATGACAACAACAACAGCAAAGTTTTTATTTCATTTATTTTAAAAAATTATACTTTTTTTTTTTTTTTTTTTTTTTTTTTTTTTTTTTTTTTTTTTTGCCAGAGAGCATGTTCACTTGCCAGAGAGATAGCATTGGTGACTGAGCATGTGTGCACAACCCCTAGTGGACATGGTCACACTGCAGTCCTTTTCACTCCATTCTTCTTTCCATGTCAGAATTTTGGGCATGTACACACATGTGCCTGGCATGCTTTCTAGGATGCTAAGGCTGATATTGAACTGAAATTGGTGGGATCTGGCTCCCTTAGTCATTGTGCTATGGGTCCGGTTCTACATTTTCTTTATACCGAAATCAATCAGTGCTTTCTGATTAATATTTTCTTAAATGTTATATTCTTATACCTATCACTTTACAGTGTGTATTTATAGATTTTTTTCTAAATTTCTTAGATTTTATTAAGATAATATTTATTTCTTTGAAATTTTTTCTGGCTCAGTAAATTGAGAAATGGTTTATATATCCTAGTGCATTTGAGATAGTAAATAATTCATTTCTAGCACAATTATTGGAGAAAAAAATCCTATTTACCTTATTTTTTTTTTTTTTGAGAGGTTTTTGCTATAGGGCATGTGCGCACACCAGAAAGCCAGAGAGAGACAGAGAGATAGAAAACAAGAAATCACATCCCAGGGAGGATGGTCATGCCGCAGTCCCTTCTCCTCCATTCTCCTCTTGGGATCTTGGGCACGCACGCACACGCACCTAGTGTGAGTTTAAGCCACTGAGTCCGGGACTTGAACTGCGATCAACTACATGAGAGTTCAGCGACATATCCATTGTGCTAACTGCTGGTCCCCCACTTGGTTTATATCTTGTAAGTCCTAGAAATAGGAAGCTGTGAGTGGAGGAGCCTGAAAGTGTAAATGTGTTGCCACTTGAGAGCGAGGAGATTGCCACTGCACTATGGGCTTTTCACTTCCTGTAGTGCTCTTGAAAAATGAGTTGCTGAGTTTATTAGAAGAGGAAAGGTACCCAGGAGATTGACATTTTGAAGCAGAGTGTCATGAACTTGATCTAACTCTAACCTTCATATTTTTAGGAAGATGAATTTTAGAGTTCTGATTAATTTGTTTAAATGTCTATTTGGGCACAGTCTGTGTGTCCTGGCACCATTCATAGAAATGAATAAGATAGACAGGGTTTCCAGTTTGTCAACGTAGAAAGGAGATCAGGAATTGGACAACTTAATTTTAGATGCTCTGTAGTACTGTGACAAAAGTAAAATTAGCAGTGATGGTAGGCATAAGGACTGTTTTATATAGCGTGGTCAAGAGAGATATCTGTTCACAGGTGACATTTGAGGAGCAAAGGGAAAATAGGAGACAGTCATGTAAAAATCTGAGGGTAGAAATCCAGGTAAAGGATAGCATATCCGAGTGCTCTGAAGTGATCAGAAGATTTTTGGCTGGAGTATAGGGGAGATTATAGAGTGTTTTTCAAGGAGGGTGGGGAGGTAGATGGAGGTAGTGAGGGTAGAGCAAATAGAACAGGGCTTGTAAGTCATGGTAGGGAGGTTAGATTTTTTTTTTTTCTACCTTGATAGTAGACTCATATAATGGTAGGGGATGAGGAGGTTACTTGATGTGATTAATATTGTAACAGATTATTCTGAGATTTATGGAGGCATATGCATAGGAACAGAAAAACCAATTTAGAGGCTACTATAGTTATCAAGGGGAGCCAAAAGGGTAGCTAGGTGGAAATAGTGAAAAGTAGTTAAAATTAAGGTTTATTTTGGAGATAGAGCCCAGAAGACTTGCTGATGGAGTGGATATGGGAGTGGAAGGTCAGGGTCCAGCGAAGGAGTGTCATTGTGACTTCTTGTTGGAATTGGGTGGTCTTAGATTTGTTGGAGTTGGGAGTTCTTAGATTTGCTTTTATCAGTGCATTCTTTCCTTAGTTTGAACCTTCAGAGTGTATTAGTTCTATTATAGGCTAATAATAAGTTCGATTATAGGCTATTATAGGCTAATATTTAGGCTGCTTGGATTTAGAAACCTTCAAGGATGACATTTTTAGGTAATAACTCTTACACTTTGAACTGGAAAAATATACAGATTGTTCCATTAAAAAATAAATTTCTAGCATTTGTTGCTACTTTTAAAAAAAGGAAATGAAAACCTTTAAGAAACAGATATAAAATCAAAACAACTTTCCTCATATTTTAGAAATGTACTATAGTTTTATTTAAACTCTCATACACAGTTCATTAATTTGGGCTTATTGTCTGAAATTCTTTGCCAATATTTGTGTGGAGACAGATTAAAACCACTTCAGGCATAGACATTGTGAAGATACAATATCTTTAAGTAATTCTCACCTATGTCAATAAATATAGGACATGGGGTGAGATAACATGGTGTTTTCTCCACTCTAGTTTTTGGGAGAATAATATTAAAGTTGCAACTAGGGGCAGTAAGGAGTTATGTGCTAATTACACCTGAATGTGTTTGTACATGAATGGTCATCATAATAATTATTCTTACTGAAATTTTTGTTTTGTTTTTGGAGAGGTTTATGCTATAGGGCACGTGTGCTTGCCAGACAGAGAGAGAGAGAGAGAGACAGATAGAAAGCGAGAAATCACACCCCAGGGTGATGGCCATGCTGCAATCCCTTCTCCTCCGTTCTCCTCTCGGGATCTTGGGCATGCATGTACACGCACCCTGCGTGAGTTTAAGCCACCAGGTCCAGGACTTGAACCGCGGTCGACTACGTGGGAGTCCAGCGACATAGCCATTATGCCAACTGCTGGTCCCTATTCTTACTGAAATTTATTGGCTGGTAAATTTTCTAAAATTTGTGGTACTATGTTTAACCTGTTAAGCTCAGATTTTTCAGGGGGCTAGGGCATAATGAATAAAATGCATCATACTCTCTTTAATTTTATGCTGTTTGAATTTTAGGTCAGGTGCTTTGCCTGCATTTACTCAAAATAATTTTGAAGGCTTTTTTGGTGCCTCTTTAGGAAAAGTCATCATATGCTGTTTTGAAAATTGTTTTTCTTTCAATGTTTGAATTTTTTGTACCCTAGTATCAGATTTTACCAAATAGTTGTCATTAAATTACATAATGTTTTGAAAATTGGAACCAGAATTCACTGTACTTTCATCTTTTGTTTTCTTATGGCAGAGAAATTGCTTTTACCAGACAACTACATGAGAAAACGTCTCAACTCAGCTATTATTATATGGGTTTCTACATTCATTCATGTCCCAAGATGAAGTATAAGGTAAAATTGATTTTTATACACATGTTTGTTTTCATTATAGAAAAATGGATCTTTAAAACATTTTTATCTCAGGGCACAGGATTTGGAGCTCTGAAGGAGGGACAAATGGGTCCCTCCTTCAGAAGGGACTTCCAAGTTGCTGTCTCCGAAATGAAGCTTTCTGTAATGAGAACCATGGCCTGTACTGCTCTCACTTTGTAATCCATCAAATTATTGTGAGATTTAAGTATGTTATAGAATTTCCTTTTTAAAAACAGGTTTTGTGACTCTCTTTTATGAAACTCTTTGATGTTTTTAAGTATTCGTGACCCACTGTAATAACTCTGGAGTGTATATAGAACAGGGCAAAGGAACAGACTGCCTACCTCCTGCCCACCATGAGGATAATAACCAAACACCTCTGTTTACTTAGCTTAATGCTTTAAGTGCTAAAGATGCGAAAGAAGTAAACGTAAATTTTCCACTTAAAACTTGTGGTCTATGTGAAGACTGGGGAGGAGGTCATGTTGCATTAAACCAGGTCATAAAGTGGTCTGATAAGTGGCCTAGAAGGGAGTTATTACTTCACACAGTGTAGAAGAGGAAAGGATTTAACCTAAATGAAGGAGCGAGGAAGAGGGTCATTATGATGGATAAACACATTTCAAGGAAAAGGAACAGCGTAAGTAACGATTCAGAGGTAACAGTGCCTATGATATGTTCATAGAAAAAAGGATACCCCAAGAACTGTGAAGGACCATGAAAGCTAACCTAGGATACTTAGGCAGTTAGGAGTCATTGACAGTTTCAGGCACAGAGCCATATAAATTAAAAAATATATAAATATGTTCATATGTGTAATTGTAATTTATTTTAATTATGAGAATTTCTTAGTATGCCAAATTGTTTTTAAAAGTGTAACTGGGGAACCAGCAGTTAGCGTAATGGCTATGTCGCTGGACTCCCACATAGTCGACCGCGGTTCGCGTCCCGGACCCGGTGGCTTAAAAAACTCACGCCGGGCACGTGTGCGTACGTGCCCAAGATCCCGAGAGGAGAATGGAGGAGAAGGGATTGCGGCGTGACCATCCCCCCTGGGGGGTGATTTCTCGCTTTCTGTCTCTATGTCTCTCTCTGTCTGTCTGGCGAGCGCACGCGCCCTATAGCGAAAAAACCTCTCCAAAAAAAAAAAAAAAGTGTAACTGAACCCCTATCTACCCATTACCTAGCTTCAACAATTATTTGTACATCTCATACCATTTTTTTTACCTCATTCCTGTCTTTACTCCATTTTGATTTATTTTGAAACAAATCAAGAATATCACTTTATCTGTAATTATTTTAGTTTATATTTCTAAAAAATTAGGGATGCTTTGAAAACATAACTATTGGGTTGTCAGAAAAGTCATGGCACATTTTTACATAGAATAACATAGAAAAATACATGACTTCCCCAACAACTTAATATGATCTCATTATCACACCTAAGAAATATTAACAAGATTTTCAAATAGCATCTGATGTCTAGTCAATGTTCTTTTTTTCCTAATTATCTCATATTCCCTTATTATCTTATAATCTATATAAGAATTGTCTAATTTAGATTGTAGCCAGCTTGTTTGACTTGGGACCTGGACTAGGTTCGTATGTTATATTTGGTTGATGTGTCTCATAAATCTCTTTAATCCATAAATTTCTCCTTCCCCCTTTTATTTTTTGATTTTTACAAAAGAATGATCCACAGGACTTGCTGACTAAATATGGGAATGATCAGAGCTTCAAATTTTGAGGTTAAGTACTGAATGGCTGAGAAGTAATGATTCCGTTATTGGGAATTATGGACTTAAAAGTAGAACTGGCTTTGAGAAAACTGTAAAAGTACAATTCCTTGCTAATTTTACATTGACAGGCCACATAGTCTGAGAGCAGAATTGTGCTGGCACTTAGAGGGTCTCTTTTGAGCTTATTTATTTATTTATTTATTTATTTATTTATTTATTTTTCCTTTTGGAACTTACATTTATACAAATGCATGTAATCGTCATACATCTTTGTATGATTTCTCAAAGCATGCAAACAGTATATAGTAATCAAATCAGTGATATAGACATATTTATCTTCTTTGACATTGAACATTACTTTGTGCTGTGCACATTTGATAATAGTTCTACTAGTTTTTTTCACTGTTTTTTTATTTCATGTTCTTTTATATATTCAATCATGTTATTTAGCTTACAAAGTGAAAATTCCAACATGTGTACATTTCTCCCTAGTCCAGTTGATAATACTATAAAATTATCTTCAACAGATAATACCACATTTCTTTGTCCCGTTAATGCTTTGCCTCTCTATTTTTCTTCTAAGTGTCCTTCCTCAGAGTCTACTCTTTGACCTACACTATATCTGGTATTCACAACCATTGAATGTGTTTCTATATCTTTTAGTCAATCAGTTTCAGTCATAGAGTGCGGACACTCGGTATATATTAAGTGGGGACATACAATGTCTCTTTTTCGTAGCCTGGCTTGCTTCACTCAGCAGTAAATCTTCCATATTCATCCACTTTCTGTCAAAAGCCAGGGTCTTGAGTATATGTGCCACAGTTTTTCAATCCATTCTTCTGTTCGTGGGCATTTGGGTTGAGCTCTTCTTAAGTGTACATTGTAGATAGATAACTTAGGAATTTCGTGGTCTTCAAAATTTTTCTTTATATCTGATTTACTAATTTACTTGATAGGCCTAAAAATATGCTTTTGTGCAGAGGAAAAAAGCATGGGCATAATTTTGTTTACTCAAAAACACTTGATATTGTTTTTATTAGTTTTTCTTCTTCTTCTTCTTCTTCTTCTTCTTCTTCTTCTTCTTCTTCCCTTCTAGCTTATTTTCATAGTGCTAGATCTAAATTAGTTCAGGAGAAAAAGCTCAGATATTTGGGGCCAGCAGATAGCGTAATGGTTACGTCACTGAACTCCCAACGTAGTTGACCACGTTTTGAGTCCCAGTCCTGATAGCTTAAATCTTATGCTGGGTGCATATGCGTGTGTGCCCAAAATCCTGAGAGGAGAATGGAGGTAGAAGGGATTAGGGTATGGCCATCCCCTCACTTTTGATTTCTTGCTCTGTCTCTCTGCCTCTCTGTTTCTCCAGCGAGTGCATGTGCCCTGTAGCAAAAATATCTCTGGGGAAAAAAAAAACAAAAAACTCAGATATTTGAGATTTTTTATGCAGTTACTTTTATTACTCTAATGATTATAGTAGACAGAAGAATTTCTATACCAGACTTAGAGATTTCACTTTTACCTCTCTTTTATCTTTCTGTCTGTCTTTATTGCCAGAGAGTGTGCTCACAAGAGACAGTGAACTAGCAAGGGATATAACCATTATGCCATCTGCTGGTCCCCACATCTGTTTTTAAATAGCGTGTTACCATGCCTCTAGAAGAACTTAGAGCAACAAGAGCCATGGCAAAAGATGACTTTGATTATATATATTTCCTGGTAGTAGTAGCTGATGTGAGTTGGTAGAAATCACTTCCAAAGTGGATTGGTCTCTTTCAGTAAAGCTAAAATGAAAACTTGTATTTTCATATGGAAATTTCTTCTCACTTTTTGGTAATTTTTTTTTTTTTTTAAATCATGAGTCCTGAGCAAAATCAGTTAAAACAAAAATCAGGAAGTTGAAGGAGGGTATTATAATTCTCCTACAACAATGAAAACTGAACAGTCAACATAGAAATGTTACTGGTTTGAAGTAATCCACCAATGTCAAGTCAAAAGCATGAGCAGGAAACCCTGACTTATAGAGCTGACAGTGATGGTTGACATATGCAGGAAGCAGGACAGGAGTGGAGAGGAGGGTGCAGCGACAGTCTGACCAGTCAGTTTTGCTTGTGGCTATTGCAGTGTTGTGTTATGGAGTGTATGTGTACCTCTCTGCTGTTAACAGTATAAATAACGATGTAAATATATTACATATCAGCAAGTTTGTATACAAAGTCTATTAGTAGTACTCCAAGAAATAACAATTTTTGGAAGCAAATAAGTTCATAATTTGGTAGTTTGAATTTATGCTTCTTTGTGGTACTGCTAACTTGCAAAATGATCCAAATGTCAGTTTATTCTTTTTTTTTTTTTTTTTTTAAAGAGAGATTTTTGCTATAGGGTACACATGCTCAGCGGAAGACAGAGAGAGAGAGAGAAAGTGAGAAATCGCCCCTCTGGGGAATGGCCAAGCCCCATCCCATGATTTCCTCCCATGATTCTGGGCATGCATGCATACACACCTGGCCTGAATTTAAGTCTTCTGGTCCAGGACTCAAACTGCGGTTGACTACATGGGAGTAGCCATTATGCCATCTACTGTCCTAAATGTCAGTTCATTCTAAGTAGTACTTAGTAGTGTTTGCTGGTATTTTGGTGTTTTAATATTCACTATAGGCTAAAGTTCTCTGTAAATATTACTAAATCTAATATTTCTTATTAAATAATTGTTAACATATTTACAATAATGAATAAAGAGTATCAATAATATTAGAAGCATTTTAAGAAAAACCTAAAGTTTCAGGAATCCTGATTTCTTCTTCCCAAATCTCTGAAGTTAATATGCTTAATGTTTTCCATATATTTGTATTCACACTATATCTTCTTGGAAGGGATAATTCTGAAATTTTATCGTATAGTTCATAATTTTATGAATATTTGTTTAATAATAATGAAAGAATTTTTTGAATATTAATTTTGTAAAGCCAGCATTTTACTGACATTATTGTTTTTGAACACTTTCAGGTCTTCAATATTTAAACAGTAATTTTTTTGCTATAGGGCATATGTGCTCACCAGAGAGAGAAAAAAGTGAGAAGTCACCCCCCACCCTCATGGGAAATGATCATGACACAGTTCCTTCTCCATTCTCTTGTCTTTTCTGGGCCTTTGGGCATGCACACATACACGTGCCCACCATCTTTTTCAGGCCTCCAGGTTCTAGGATTTGAACTGTAAGGTCAGACATGTAGGATCCTGCCA